TCCTTTTGCTATGTTGAATGGTCCTTTTAAGTTCATCACTTCTATTGTTTGTATCCTGTTTGTATTGAAAAGTAAAAATTAAAATCAGTTTGAGAACGTGCGATTGAAGGAAACAAATTTGGACCACACTTGCGCTACTTTAAACTTTAAAAACATTTCCAGGAAAGGCCTTGGAGTACGTCTACACTGCGGCACTATTTTGGGAAACTTCCGGTATCCCGAAATAGCTCTTCCATGTCTTGACAGCATGCCTGTTATTTCAAAATACCTTTCAAAATAAAGGGCGTGCTATTCCAACAACCAGGTAAACCTCATTCCATGAGGATTAAGGGACATTTTGGAAATTTTGAAAGTTGGACAGCGCCAAATGACGAAATAAGCTATTTTGAAATATACTCGAAATAAGCAATGCAATTTGCATACTCAAATTGTGGCGCTTATTTCAAGCTAAGGGTGCAGTGTAGACGCACCCTAGAACATAGCTTACTGGCTTTTCCTTTGCACGACAGTTCCTTTAATGCGAACATCTCCTCTGACCTCACAGTACTGAATAGTGACTGCTGGATAACAAAATACTTTACAAAACGGCATTTGGAGAGTGGAAGCAGATCTATAATCAGTTTTAGGACCTTTGTTGTCGCTAATGGCAAAGACTTTTCACTTTTCAAGACTGTCCTGCTATTTCTGTTAAGGCAAAGAGTTCATACAATAAATACGGATAAGGTATTGTGCAAAGACAAGCACTAATAGACATTTTCTCTGCTACTTGGCAGTGGTGGCATTTAAAGCAAATGTAGCATGTTACTGAACCTCTATAGAGCCAAGAGTACAATGCATGAAAGCATTTTTAGCTTTAGTATTTATGGCTGCCTCAGGTGCATTGACACTAACACAGTCCCTCGATTAGCAAGTATTGTGGATGCAGATTACTTCAGTGCAGAACTGTGCACTGTGCTGAGTCAGACGTCAGTCCTGCAGCAATCGCCATCGATGGCAGTGTTTCCATTGACTTCAGCGACCTAAATCTTCACCCAGAGAGACTCGGGGCTGGATCCTGCAGATGTTGAAGTCAGTGGTGTACATCCCAATGCCTTCCATAGAATGTGGCTCCCTATTCCTCCCAGCCTGTCCTTCGCCACGAGAGATACAAAGAACCCTTTCTGGGCAAACGATGGCTGAACCAACCCAGGGGTCCGATTCATAAAGAAATGTTGTCACGGGGGTGGGCTGGCACTTTTCTTTTAACCTCCGCAGTCAGCTGGTGTTGAAAGTAAAACTAAGCAGGTTTTGAGGGCAATCTATTAGAACACGAGTGGGCTACAGGCAGAAACAATCTTAGGCAGTGAAAATAATTTGCATACTTCTTTGCATAACTAAATCTAGCCAATGGCACGCCCTCTTGTACAGTCAGGGACTGCAGTGCCAATGGGACTTCCGTTCATTATTGGCCACGTCGTACTAGCGGCTCCTAACAACGGCCATCCGAGTTTGGTGGCCTGTAAAATTCCTTTCCTTTTTTAAGCAAAGGTTTTCATTGTTATCAAGCATCAAATAACCCCGAGGGGCAAGGGAAGAACAGAGGGAAGAAACGAAATCGGTGATTTCATGTGACCTTTCCGTCAGCAATAAGATGATTCAATTGATGTCCCTGCACAGGGGTTCTCTTAGTCCTCTGACGCCTGTTCATACAGGAGCAGATCACTACACAGTTGTGCTAAAAATGACCCACCCGAATGTATTTTTACCTTGCACAAAAGTGCTTTATGTTCCCACTGGGCAGGGATCCTTTTGGTCAGTATGTCTCTTTACCGACTGGGACTGCTAACCCGATCTCACGTTTTGCTACGCAAACCCCTTGCTCTTCAGAAATGGCTGCAGCGTGCACACGCTTCTTAGGGGGTAAAAGTCACAGCTGTGCAGGGGACCCCACATGTTCTAGGGGACCACATAAGCCCATACTGAACTGCGGACTTAAGCGGAAGGGAAGAGGGGCGTAATTGTGCACAGGGGTGAATTTCACCTGCTAGAGCAAAGCGATTTTTTTTTAATAGCTTGCAATTTACCATTTTGTAAAGCTAGAGACACGCCATTTCCAGCCTACTCTTCTAAAGCTGGGCTCGCCTCCCGCATGCAAAATGAAGGAGCCCCCTTTTACATGGCGAAGAGGACCAGCACCAACAAGCTAGTACGGTGGTCGGGACAGGGGCTTAGTTCACCAGTTCAAATCCAGCTCAGTGCAGTAAATGACGGAATGGCCCCAGGACGCTCTTACGGCCCTTTGAAAAAGGAGCACGAGGATCCCAGATCAGTTTCCAGTTGATAAGCGTCGATGTCGCTAGATCACTACACGTGGCACTAATGAAGAGAGAGACCGAGCTATGCGCCAGCCCCAGGAGTGGATGCTAGGCCAGGCTGCGGAATATTGGCAATGCAGTACTGGAAACGCTACGCCACCCCCACTCTTACCGTATCAGTTCTGGTCCTCCACCCGGCCTCTTCCACTTGCATTAGAATCAATCATTGGGGGGAGAGAAGCCAAATGAAACCAGACCTTTGCATTCTACACACTTTCTGCAGCCCAAACTTGGTTATAACCTTGGACAACTAATTTTTTTATGAATCGGCCCTTGCAGATGATGCAAATGATTATCCAATGCAAAATGAAATGAGGAACAAAGCCACTACAGTAAACGTATTCCACTTGGGATGCTAAGCAGGACTTCAGCTATGGTCCTGGAGGTAACATACATTGTCTTCCATTATATTTAACATGGTAAAAGTCTGTACTCAATCCAGCAGCCCTCACAACCTTTATGGATTTCACTTACATCTGCTTCATGGTGCCCCATCGGCTCCTACGACACCTGTTGACAGCCCCCACCCTCCCTTCCAACTATCGCCCCACAAAATAAAGTAGCGTTAACAACAAGATAAATATGATGTGCTTCTCCTTGCTGAGTGCATTGGCTTAAGGCATAGGCACAATTTCCCCTCTTTGAACAGAGATGGTATAGTCCTGTGTCCCAATACAATTGTTCTCCTGGGTGACCCTTTGCATTAATTAACAAATCGTTTGAACTTGAGGATGAACTGAACCGTAGCACTAAGAAAATTGCAGAACGAATCATTTTCAGCCTCTGTGAAGTGTTAACTTCTCCTGGTGTCCTCTCGTGCACAAGCAAAACAACCAGAAGGACCGAAGTGGGATCCAAATTCAATTTCAGTCAACGAGAGGCTTTCTGCTTTGGAGCATGCCCTAGATGCACATTGTAAAACCCCAGACAACTCTCAAGCCCCCCAAGAAAATACAAGGACGGGACACTTGTAAAAATTGGCCAAACTGTCTAAATAGTTTGTTTTTGTGGTGATCGTCAAAATCATTTGGGTGAGATAAATGAACTTTCAATATTGCTAGAGCTATGCGCAGGGTTGAGTATTTGTCTATAGGTAACATTCTCAAAAGCACTAAGGCCTGGTCTATACTAGACCAGGCAGGTCGGCTTAACACACGCAACTCCAGCTATGCCAAATGTCTACCTGGAGGTGGCTTTCCTTAAGCTGAGCCATGGCGGTGTCCAAAGTGGAGGCCAACGGGAGCACAAGCTCCTATTGGCTTCCCTTACTCTTCGCAGAAGGACGAGCATTGGACACCAACGGGGGCTGCCCTCAGCATTCGAGTTAGGGATCTCTAAGAGATCCGCTAAATTGAACACTAGAAGATCACCCTCCGGAGCGTCAATCTTCTCGGAAGTGTAGACATGCACTAAGTGACTCAGCAGCCCAAGTCTCATTGAAAATTAATAGAACTTAGGTGCTTTTGAAAAATTTACCCTGAACGTTTTTCATAGGCTTCTTAAATGCTCCAGGAAGTCATTAATGGAGTTGAAACCCAGTAACTATGAGACCTCCACACTGCTCATGATATTCCCATTTTTTGGATAATGGAAACAGTGTGACAAAATCATATCACACGTTTTCCTTCCCCATAAATGCCTCATGGAGGGGGGAAAAAAACCTACTCATGAAAAACCAATTGAAATACTGTGTTAATCTGGGTTCAAGTACAGGAGGGCCCAAAGCCTTACTTTCTGGTGATCTTCCTTGGTCATAATCTTTATGAAATATTTTTTTCAAGTCCTGTTTCATGATCAGCATCTCTGACATTTTCAGTCTCTTTAAAACGTGTGACCTCAGATTACCCTCACTGTTTAAAAAAATTCTTGCAGCGAAGTTGGATAATGTTTCTCTTCTGTATGAGTTTCACTGAATCCCAGACAGATTCTGGCAAATCTTACACTTTCTCAGGCAAGGTCTAGGCTAAAAGGAAAGGTCAAAGTGAGATACGCAACTCCAGCTATGTTAATTACGTAGCGGAAGTCAATGTGCCTTGTTTTGAGTTTCTCTGCCGTCCCCCACAGTGGGAGGCCGACCGGAGCAAACGCTCCCATCGGCTTCTGTCTACTCGTAGTAGGAGTATCGGCCACTGATGAGGGCAGCCCGTGAGTTTGATTTAGCAAGTCTTAACCAGACCCGCTAAATTGAACTCCAGAAGCTCGACTGAGGTGTTGAAGACATGGCCTCAGTGTTGCCAGTTGTGTGTGTGAGGGAGTGGTTTATTGTAAAAACAGAATTATCTCCTAGGCTACGTCTAGACTGGCATGATTTTCCGGAGGCATGATTTTCTGCAAATGCTTTTAACGGAAAAGTTTTCCATTAAAAGCATTTGCGGAAAAGAGCGTCTAGATTGGCACTGACGCTTTTCTGCAAAAGCACTTTTTGCGGAAAAGCATCTGTGCCAATCTAGACGCACTTTTCCGCAAAAAAGCCCCGATCGCCATTTTCATGATCGGGGCTTTTTTGCGGAAAACAAATCTGAGCTGTCTACACTGGCCCTTTTGCGCAAAACTTTTGCGCAAAAGGACTTTTGCCTGAATGGGAGCAGCATAGTATTTCCGCAAGAAGCACTGATTTCTTACAGTAGGAAGTCAGTGCTTTTGTGGAAATTCAAGCAGCCAGTGTAGACAACCGGTCAAGTTTTTCCGGAAAAGCGACTGATTTTCCAGAAAAACTGGCCAGTCTAGACACAGCCCTAAAGTATAGAACTGAATACTCTAGGGTAGGGTTGGGCAAAAAGTGGTCCAAGAGTTGAACGCGATTCGCCAGGGTTAGCCCCTGATGGGCCATTAGATGCTTATTTATCTGTGAGGCAACAGGTACGGCTGCTTGCAGATTGTTGTTCCTGGCCAATGGCAGCTACTGGAAACGGTGTCCAAGCTGCACCTCTTCCCAATGCTCCCATTGGCTGGGAACGGCGATTCATGGCCAACAGGAGCTGCAAGGGGCTGTCCCTACAGACACAGAGGCAAATCAGGCATCTGGTGGTGCGCTCGGGGCTAACCCAGGCAACACCGCATCCAAGCTCCATTCCAAAGGCTAAGTAGGGAAGACCAGCACTGGGAACCAAACCCTGTTTTCCTGGAGGGCAGTGTGGAGTCTCCCAATTAGGCCACTGTATTTTAGATTAAACATAGAGCGTAATATGATGACAGGTGTTTTAGAGTTCTCGAGGCCATTTGCTCTGCCTTGGCGGCCATTTTGTTGCGACTGATTGTAACGGTGCAAAAATGATCAGCGCTTTGCTCCTCCTTTTTGATCTCAGATACGCCAGTCCATTGACTTAAGCAGACTTGTTCCCTTTGCTCTGAGGAGACGGTGCGTAATAGGGGAGGACCATTAGACTATATCACTACAGACGGGCATAGGGCGTTGTGAGTTCAATTTGACAGAATGTGATAGGGTCACCCTGGGATTCATTGTACTGAAACATCGTTTTACACAGAGGATATATATATTTTATATATATCTATATATATTCATATATATATAGTCACACACGCGCACACACACCAAAAAGTCTTTGATAGGCTTTCTGTGTTCTAGCCAAAATAGGCGGCAGCTGCTCTCTGGGAGACTAGACCAGGGCCTTTGTGCTGCCCGCAATGCCGGCTGCGAACCGTCTCTCAAGAGCAGATGCTTGTGTTTATCTGGCAGGTGGAAGTCGCGCCTGCCTGAGACAGGAATAGCCTCCCGTTGGAACACACACAGAGCTCGTAGATTTTCTGCCTGGAGCCCGCAGAAGAGTGGGATGCTAGAGGCAATCTAGGTAGTTTGATATTTGCAGCGTTCAATGTAATCTGAAGGGAGGCGGAGGGAGAGAGACAGAGAGAGAATTAGTGAGGCGTCGCAGTCTTTAAATGCTAAATTAAAAGCTTTTATTGCAAAGCCGACCTGCTAGCACTAGAATTGTTCATGCAAATGGGTGGCAGCTGTCATTAAACATTTTTCTAAATGGACCTGTCTTAATCATTTGTGCCCCACCCAGCGCACCACCCCATTTATCCACTGACTGTGTCTTGTAATCCGAGCTTGCCAGATCTCTGGGGCAGGTCTAGCTATGGGTTACTTACGTGTATAGGATCTAGCACTCTGGGGCCCAGAGAGGGTACTACTAGAGTATAAATAAACAATCGCTAACACAGAGACTGGGTCCCAGATGTTGCCGGCCCAGAGAGTTCTGGGCTGGAGAGGTTCAAGCTGTACAGTATCTGTGTGTGTGCATATTATAAAGATGACCCCAAACCACTGCACTCCCCCGCACACGGTTTTCCCCGTAGGGAGAGGATAAGAGAACAAAGCCATGCCAGATGTGAATCCCTTAATGCACATCCTGCGTCCAGTTCAGTGTGTGGTTGGGGTCCGCTCTAGGAGGGTCTGCTACCAGAATTGAGACTTTCAGTGCAGTGGACAAGACGTACTGTAAAAGCAAACCGGCATTAAGCCAAAAGGTAGTTGGTCTAATTACGCCGGTGTAACTCCCTGGAGGTCAAGGGTGTTACACCACTGTAGGATCAGATTCTGGACTGGTTTAAGAATTTTGGGCTTGGGCCTTTGTAAAAATACCACCCTCTTTAGAGAGAGCATGGCCCATCATGTCAAAAATTCCTACAGATTGAATCTCTTTAGTCCAGCACCCTCGGGATCTGATCGGTGTCAAACCAGAGAGTTTTCTGGAGCATGAGAGATCAATTTTGTCCAGCAGCTTCCACTGCTTACTGGGCTCTAAGAAGACATTTTAGAAGTCAATTCGAGCTAAATTAACAGCACAGAACACTGAAAGCCAGGACTGGGGGCTGTAAACAAACTTTATGGGACCGCGGGAAACTCGGCCACACCCATGCTAAGTCTGCATCCGGCTCATTAACATCATGCTGCGCCCCAGATGTTGCCGGGCCAGAGAGTGCTGGACTGGAGAGGTCCAACCTGTATCAAACTGATGTTACGGTAATGGAATACTAGGATCCATTCTACTGGGAGTCTTGCCAGTGATTTCAGTGGGCTTTGGACTGAGTCCCCTAACTGAGGTTTCTATGTTTTACCTCTTTGTATTATGCTGAATTGTTGGGGAATAACGGGGATTGTGCATGGCTATTGCTAGCCCCAGCCCCATGCGTTCATAGACTACGATAGGTTCAACTCAGATCCTGTCTTGCTTTTTGTTGGTCTGCGCTGTAGTTTTTCATTAGAGGTGAATAAATTATTGATTTTTATTCAGTTCGGTGGCCAAACCAAAAAAACCTGGGGGAAATCTGCAAAAGGAATATTTTGGACTTTTGTGGAAATGAATAACTGAAAAGAAATGCAAAAGCTCTGCTTAATTTCCAAGTGACTTTTACTTTTTCTTCCTTTTAAATAAATATAGCTAACGTTAAAACGAAACATCCCTTCAAAATGCTGAGATGAAACGTTCCATTGAAAACAATGTTGAAACGAAACGTTTCAGCTCTATCAAAACCATGTTCTGTGGGCCAAAATTATTTGCCAAGTTCAACCTGAATTTGCAGTTTAGATTTATCCCAAAGTGCATTTGTTTGGGGGGTGGGGGAGATAAACTATTAAACTGAAAAGTCACCCAACGTTTATCCCTTTTAACCCTCTTTTTCCCTTTTAGTAGTTAGCGGACGTAGTAGTCTAACTTTGCCTGACTCTCTTCCCTCAAAAATCAAAATAGCCAGTTCTAAAAGCTTTGCAGAGTGAGGCAGGTGATTCAAACTCTTGCCTTTGCAAAATTCATGATCTAAGATTTAATTATGTTAGCCAAGTAAATTTCATTTTAAAGTGACACCCAAACCAGAGAATTTAGGAGCATTGTGCAGTTTTACAGCTGCATAAATCTCTTTGTACAACAGACGCTATTATCGAAGCACTTTAACAACAATGAATCATCGAGCATTCTCCTTGGAGGCAATCTCGTTGGCGCACAATGTGTTAGTCACTGCTTTCCTACCTGGGCCAGCTTCGCCATTGTTTTGAAACCATTGTGTCAAAGGGGCCGAGGTCGTTATAAATCTGGGTTCTCGTTTAGGGTTTGCTTTCCATTTCCTACCTCTCCGTCTTTTGATTCCAGCCTCAGCTCCGTCCTGCATGTGGCTTCCAGGTTGCCGGCCTCGGCGTTAATTTCAATTCCCTTCGGAGCCTCCATCACCAAAGAGCGGGTGGGGGACTCAAGTCTGTAACATAGTCAAGAGGGGATTATACCACCACCTGGGCTTTGGTGTTAAATTTGAGGTTTATTTTCTCACTCTGCTTGCTTCCCAAATGCCTCGCCCCCTCCATTCTCATCAAGGGCCTGATCCACGAACAAAGCGAGTATAAAACGTTGCCATTTGAAGCTGGTAGCGTTTCACACCTACTTTGCCTAGCTGTAGATTAAGGAACAAGGGGCGAAGCCTTGGAAACTCAGCTTTGCAGGAGGATCAATTTCCTCACAGTTCTCACAAGTACAGACATCTGTTAAATAATCAATACCGCAGCCGGGCATACTAGCAACATGTTATAATTCTACTTCACACTTACATAACACTGACCGTCCCCAAATCACCGTACAAACACGAGCAAGCCAACCCTTGTGGTGTCTTGGTGTGGTAGGGAAGTGTCATGCTCATGTAAGTAACAGGAATACTACAGCAGAATGGTACAAATGACTTGCCCGTGGCTATGAACAATGGATAGAAGGCAGGAGTCCCTGCCTCCCAGTCCTATCTTCAGTTCAGGTGTCTGTAAGATGCAAAGGTCCCAGGTTCAATTCCCACCCAAGGGTGTTCTATTACGCATCTCTCTTCCTGCCATTCAAATACAATTTCTTCTCCCTCAAGTCGGAAATAAAAACGCCCTTGTTTTTTAAGTGAAGTAAAATGCAGGTCTTCCTGGTGGATCCATCCCACGTCTTCAAACTAGCAGCAAACCATCCTGTCACAAGCACTGGATTGTGATCTCACTACAAGCAGCAAACTGCCGGAGGACTCTACGTGGAAAGTCCCTACGTAACCGTAAGCATTTCGGAAGTCAGTGCTGGTGGTGTTGGAAAAAATGAAAGGTCAGGAGCAGGGCACGCAACCACGGAGCTTTGGGCACCCTTTTGTATTTGCTGGAGTTACTACGGTGACACGTCAGCTGACTCTTTCTACGTAAGTACAGGTCAGAGGTTTATTAAGTGGGTCCCTGCTGGTACTGAGAGAGCAAATGGAGAGCGAGTGAATTGCACTGTGCTTCTTCTGGCCAGTAGTGCCCTTCAATAAAATGGGGCCATGCTTGTCTCTGTGTGACACTTTCCCAGTTGTGCGTCTCTTGCTCCTTTCTCATCCACGGTCCTCGACATTCTTTTGCACAGGACCCCAGATTTGTAGTGTCTGCGGAAACTCCAATTAGATCACGTTGCATTTTTTGCCGGGGCCCAACAAAATTCCCCAATCATGGAGCAGAGCCACAAGGAAGGGGGAAAGGAAGGTTCTAGAATTTGTCTGAAATTGTGTTTGTTTTTGTTCCTCAACCTTGAGGGGGCCAAACCTAACCAGGCTCCCTCTTAGGACGCACCTGCGGTGGCACCGCCAGACTGAGGAACATGGTCGCTTGCTGTGCCATGAATTCTAGCTAAGACCACTGCTAGTCCCTTTCTTTTGGTCATTGAATTACATGATGCATAGGACAGGCGCTGTTGGAGCTGTGAGTTTTGTTTCTACGCAAGAAAACTAATTTGAAAGACTTTAGTGGTGGCCTTTCCATGCAAACATCTACGGTAGAACCATAGAAACCTAGGGCTGGAAGAGACCGCAGGAGGTCAGCAAGTCCAGCCCCCTGCCCAAAGCAGGATCAACCCTAAGTCCCTTGTGGTTAAACTAAAATTGGTGAATCTGGCTGAGCTGATGAAATGATTCCAGTAAACTACAGCCATGTACCTACTCAACTCTACTGATTGTATCGCCATTGTCGTGGTTCATCTGCTAATCTTGGGGCTCTGAAAAATAAATCAGACGAGCAAATGGAGATCAAACCGAGCGTGTTTACAGCAGCATTGGTTAATTCTTGCCCCCCAGATTAACAAATGCCCACGAGTTGTGGGGCAGAACTACAGAAGGGAAGATGCTAAGTAACTCCCCAAAGAAATGTCCCAGAGGATAAGGCTCCTTCTCCCGTCCGGGGGCACAGGCTAGTCCCGCTAGAATGAAGGATGGGTCAACCCCCCAAAAGAGAGTGCGAAGAAACAACAGAAAGTGCCTGGGAATGAAACCGCTTGGGGAAAGCTGTTCACCGCGAGGAAGAGATTACGGGCTGCTTGTCCCTACTTGTCAAAACTCCCAAAGGGCTGGGCCTAGTGCCTGAATGGCCCAATCGAAAGCTGCAGTAGGTTCAGAAGCATTCTGGTCTCAAAAGGGAGCCAGAGGCCTGGCCAGGGTGTACAGGGCGTTCACTTCGGTCACCCCAGGTTCTCTGGCGAACTGTGGTGAACCAGGCTCCCTAGTCAGCCAGTTTTACCAGGCAGCCCGGCTCACTAAGGGTACATCTAGACGTTTTTTTTCCTAAAGGAGATATGCAAATTTGGTGCTAATTTGCATACCTTCTTATGATCGTTTTTTTTAAAAGTGGGTTTTTTGAAAATGAAAGTAGTCTGGATGTGGGGTTTTTTGAGGGGGAAAAAAAGCCACCCTTTCTTGAAAAACTGCATAAAACTCCTTTTTTTAGGAAGAGTGTTTTTTTTTAAAAAAAGGGTATTTTTCCCGCAAAAAACGTGTCCAGGCTACTTTCACTTTCAAAAAAGCGAACAGAAGAAGATATGCATCTCCTTTCGAAAACCCCTTGTGGTCTAGCCGTACCCTAACGCACCATCTCCACCGGTGCAAACCATGGGAACCCATTCCAGCGCTTCCCCACCCTCCTAGGGAAAGTTTTTCCTAATGTCCAATTTAGACCTCCCCCACTGTAGCTTGAGACCATTGCTCCTCGTTCTGCCATTTGCCACCACTGAGAACAGCCTCTCTCCAGCCTCTTTGGACCCTCCCTTCAGGGAGTTGAAGGCTGCTCTCAAATCCCCCCTCACTCTTCACTTCTGCAGACTAAACAGACCCAAGTCCCTCAGCCTCTCCTCGTAGGTCATGTGCTCCAGCCCCCTCATCATTTTGGTTGCCCTCCACTGGACTCTCTCCAATGCGTCCACATCCTTTTTGTAGTGGGGGGCCGCCCAGAATTGGCTGCAATACTCCAGATGCGGCCTCACCCTTTGACACAAGTGTAACTCCACTGCCCTGGGCGACTGTGACCAATTGGTCTGATGTTACGGGGGCCATCCTGAGATAAGAGCTTTGTCTTATATATGCAACTGTATCCTCTTCACCGCCCTCCCCCCAACTCCCACTTAGTGTTCTGATTTTTCACACTTGCTCTCTGGTCACTGTCCCTTCAGGCGATTTTATGCTGATAGAAGTGAGGAACGAATCAAGCGACTCAAACTTCCTTGGAATCGGAGGCCCTGGCGATTGCAGGCGGCTTAGAATCTGATTTATTTTCCATCTCCTGCATGAATCCCTCAGGCGCCTGCCTTCAAACCAGCAGCTGAAAATCTATGCAAAGCCTAGCCACGCAGGTGGGGATTTATGCACGAGAGGGGTGTTTGCAGAGGGCTTTCATCGGAAGCCGGGGTTTAAGACGCACACCGCTTTCCTCGGAGTTAAAACCTCAGCCGGTCGTCCAGAGCAGAACCAATTGGGAGGCTCATAATGACAGGAAATGACTTCGCGACGAGCGGGCCATTCAGACGCCACGTTTGTTTTCTGCCGTGGCTTTGTGGAGCTCTCAGTAGGATTCCATTCAGCCAGGCTGGGGGTCAGCCTGCATTTAGAGCTGCAGACGGACGACGGAGAGAGATTCTATATCTCCTCCTCGTTTGCTCCTGCTCTTAAATGTTCCAGCTTAGTGACTGGAAGTTACGCCCTTTATTTTTTCCCCTTTTGTTTTCGTGATCAGGGCTCTCGAGGGCCTGATTCTGATCCCATTTACACTACTGTGAAGTGAGAGAAACCTCATACATCTGGTGTAAAAGCAAGATGAGAAGCAGGGCTGGAGACTCTATTGCTGTCCCCAGACACTACACGCCGGAGCTGCATTTGCCGTAGAGAATATGGGCTTTTACGGCAACCTCCCTCCCGTTCCGTGAGCCTTCTCCTTCCGTGAGGTGCTTATGGGGCCTTTGAAAAACTCATAAGGCACCTTCTACGTTTTTAGGGGCCTAAATATTTTAAACATCATGATCCTTAGTCTCAGATCCCCACCCAGGGCAAAAGCACTTCCCAGCTGCTTAGGGGTGTTGTGAGGATAAATATACTAGCAAATGGGACACGCTCAGATACGACAGTCAAGGGACCAAGGTAAATGCTGTGGATAAGCAATGGGGCTGATGCTAACAGCTGCTACTCTAATGAGAGGTACTTTCGAGGTCTTGCTATGCCAAAACTGAGCATACTCTGCCTGCATAGAAATGCACGCTAGCATGTGCTTCGGTGAACAAAAATAATGAGGGGTCTGGAGCAGCTGCCGTATGAAGAGAGATTAAAAAGATGTGGACTTTTCAGGTTAGAAAAGAGGAGACTAAAGGGGGATATGATAGAGAGGTCTACAAAATCATGACAGGTGTGAAGAAAGTGAATAAGAAAAAGTTATTTACTTGTTCCCATACTATGAGAACTAGGGGACACCGAATGAAATTAAATAGGTAGCTGGTTTAAAACAAACTAAAGGAAGTATTTTCTTCACTCAGTATACAGTCAACCTGTGGAACTCCTTGCCAGAAGATGTTGTAAAGATCAGGAATTTAAAAGGGTTCAAAAAAGAGCTAGATAGATTCATGGAGGTTAGGTCCATCAATGGCTATTGGGTAGGATGATGTCCCTAGCCTCTGTTGTCAGAGTCTGGAACTGGGTGACAGAAGAAGGATCACTTGATGAATACCTGTTCTTTCATTCCCCGTGGGGCATCTGGCATTGGCCACTGTCGGCAGACAGGCTACTGGGCTAGATGGACTTTTGGTCTGACCCAGTACGGCCGTTCTTATGAGCTCCCTCCTTCGCTGTCTCCTTCCTGCTTCATGGGCCGTGCAAAATGGACGACTTAAATCCCTCCGTTCACGTTTATCTCTAAGATGTCTGTGCGTTAAATTTTTAACCGGGGAAAGCAAAGCTTT